TTTCATCAGAGTTGAATCAATTACTGCACAATTCACATGTAGCCATCTGGTTATCCCAACTACACTCACTTGGTTTCCATACTACCTACTTTTTATGGCCTGCTGTAAATACACAAAGCATTTAAACGGCTTGGTCATAATAGGAGAACAGACAGCAATCAACCAGCCCACACTTGCAAAACCCAACACAAACACCTACTGTTGGATGTGATTCTGTGATTGGACAGCACTTCCCGAACAATTCCGAGTACGCTCATAGCTACTGCCATTTTAAACAAGCCGTCCAATTTATAATGTGGTGCCTTTTTTTGAATTATTCAAGAGTTTGGGAAGTCTACAGTTCGATGGCTCTGATGAAGAGTCACCGGACTCGAAACGTTAACTCTGCTTTCATAGAATCATTGAATCCCTACAGTGTGGGAGCAGGCCCTTCAATCCATCAAGTCCACACTGACCCTCAAGAAGAGCAGCCCACCCAGACTCACCCATCCCTGTAACCCTGCATTTTCCATGGTTAAACCACGTAACCTACACATCTCTGACACTATGGGACAATGTAGCATGGCCAATCCACTTAACCTGCACATCTTTAGACTGTGGGAGCACCCGGAGGAAACCCACGCAGACACAGGGAGAATGTGCAAACTCCACACAGACAGTCGCCCGAGGGTGGAATTAAATCCAGGTCCCTGGCGCCGTGAGGCACTGTGCTGCCCATAGATGCTGCCAGATCTGCTAAGTTTCTCCAGCAATTTCTGCCTTTGCTTCCGATTTGCAGCATCCACAGTTCTTTGTTTTATTTTACTATGGTTCCCCTTCTTTTTCTGCGGCAACATTTCAGCTAATCAGAATCATGCTGCCAACCAATCAGCACCCTCTTTCTCCTCTAGTTTCAATTGTTGTGATCATTTGAAATTTGGCATTCTAGCAGTTGTCCTGATGAATGTGAGATGGAAAACTACGACAACATGTCGCTCTTTTCAGCAAAGTTCAAAGCTTGATAAGCACGATATGCTTTCGAAAAAGTCTCCAAGACATGGATGCCAGAAAAAAAAAACTTATGAACCCTGTCATCCAAATTTTTGCACCAGCTTTATTCAGGGGCAGATTCATAACCTGGGATTGTATTGTAATTAATCATGAAAGGACACTGGTCAGTTTTCTTTAGTTGGCTTTCTAAAGGCATTGCTGCTTTAACCAAGAGATTTTAGATGCATGGTCTTTATGTAGAGATGCTCCCCGTCTCTACTTCTCTCCTGCCTGCTCCTCTCTTTATCCTTTCTCCACCCCCACCACACTGTCTCTCATCCATCACCAGATTTCTCGCCAAGGAACCAGACAAAACGTCACCATCTCTGTTCCTTTCAGGGACACTAAGCCTGGAAAACAAAGCTTCCTCCCCCACCTTATCTGCACTTAGTGTTTTTCAATATTTGCACGCTTTGCACAGATACAGGGACAAGAAAACTGCAGAGCAGCAGATTTATTACAGCCAGCCCCAGTTTAAATCTTCAATCGTGCTCATGCATTTAAGCAGTCAGAGATTAACAAGCACGATCTCCGGATCATATTTTCTTCAATGTGTTGACTGCAGTTCATCAGATGCACATTAACCAATGCAATGTTTGCAGATTTGTTAAAAAAAATGGCTTCTTTTTTGGAAGAACAATAGTTTGGGTTTATAGACGCTGCTCTAATACAATTCAACATTGACATCCCATAACCTCAAATAGAACAGAACCCATTTCTCAATTAAGATAACACAGTGTGGAGCTGGAAGAACACAGCAGGAAATTTCTGAAGAAGGGTCCCGACCTGAAACGTCAGCTTTCCTGCTCTTCTGATGCTGCCTGGCCTGCTGTGTTCCTCCAGCTCCACACTGTTTTATCTCAGACTCCAGCATTGGCAGTTCTTACTATCCCCCATGTCGGAATGAAGCTCATTTTAGATCAATTAGGTTTCAAAGATTTTTCTGGTCTAATGGATGACAGTAAAATGTTTCAGATACTCACTCCAGTGTGACACGGTTATCATTTTTAAACAGACCTCATGCCCCTTACACTTAGGGTTTTTTCTCCACAACACAATATAAAAGCCAAGTGCTTGTTGATTTTTGATTTGTCCGTGGGATGTGTGGGAAGGATGTGGAACTAACTGGGAAGGTTTCTTGAAGAAATAGTGTGGGAGCATGAGGTGGAAGATCAGAACTGTCTTTGCGTCAACATTTTGCCTGTGGGCATCCAACTGCTTTGAGGGGCTTTGTGAGATTCAGTTGGCTGGATGGTTGGTTTGTGATGCAGAGTGACACTCACAGCATGGGTTCAATTCCTGCACTGGCTGAAGTTACCATGAAGGACTCTTCTTCTCAACCTCTCCCCTCCTCTGAGGTGTGGAGACCCCAGTTTAAACCATCACCAGTTGTCTCTCTCTCTCTAATGAGGTAGCAACCATTGGTCTGGTAAGACAATGGCGACTATCCTTTTTTTTATATGTGGAATCACACGCAACTGGACATTTTTTTCCCCATCACCAAATCACCATGACTTTTTCTTTCATTTTTAAACTATGAAATGGCACCAGTAAATCACCTGTGTAGCCAACTGGATATTTACATCTGTTTACAACAGCAATGCAAACCATCAGAAGGTGAGGTAAGGAGAGGGGGAGAGGGGTCATAAAGCACTCTAGCCCTTCAGCGCCCACCTCCATCTAAAGGCGTTGAGGGAACTAATGGACGTTGCATGCTCCCTCTCCAAGGGTACCCGGGCACAACTATAACTACAGAAGAGGGGCAGGAAGTCAGCAGAGATGACTCCCTCCACAGCCCGCTGCCTGGACCTGTTTATAACCAGCCTGACCAAGCCCAAGAGCAGACCCATGAGGAGGTCCTCTCATCTGCTCACACCTTTCTGCACCGGGTGCCCAAAGAGCAGGAGCGTGCGGTAGAAGTGCAAACAAAAACACAACAGAAGATTTTCCCAATTACTAAAAAAAGGGAGTGGAAACACCTACAACTAATAGATGCTCGATCCACAGGCTCCACAAAATACTTTACCTTTTTACTTTTGAGCAACAGCTGTTCACTATCTATGTAGAATTCACTGAAAGGTCTTCCCTAACTGCCCTGAGGAAGGTGGTAATGAGCTGTCTTCTTGAACTGCTGCAGTCTTTGGGAGTTAGGGACACCCACAGTGTTGGGAGGACAGGGATCTCCAGGTCCTGATGAGACCCTTGACCATCCATTAGTTAGACACTTAGGGGCTTCAATAGGCAAGAGGACTACAAGGCTGCCTGACACTTCTGTCCTCACACCAGTCACAAGTAGGTATTTAGACAAAGCATAAGCCCCTGCCATGAACTTTATAAATCTCTCCCCAACTCCCTTGGCTTCAAACCCACTGGCGAAGCTTGGCGGGTGCGGGGGAGTATAAAATCCAGCTTGGAGGGACAGAAAGAAAGATATAACTTTTTTGGTTTTAAACTGCCTCTCTGCAATTCCATTTTACCTTTGTGCCTGTGTATTGGGACCTATTCAGGGCTTTGAGGGGCTAATTTTCAGAGCGTGAGGCTTAAACAGGTTATGGCACTGAAACAGAATATCAGCTTCCCCTCCAAAATGCCCTTAGAGCCAGCTAATAAAAAACAAAACCTTACTTTTACAACAGGTGCCAGGGAGACATGTACTTCACCACTCAACACAAAAAGTACACTTAATACAAGAAAAGATTTGCATTTTTATAGCACTTCCCACGATTATCAGGATTCGAATGATTTAGATGAGGGAACTAAACGTAACATTCAAAATTTGCAGACAACACAAAGCTGGGTAGGAGGGTGAGCTGTGAGGAGGATGCAGAGATGTTGCAGTGTGATTTGGTTGTGTCAGTGGGCAAATGCATGGCAGATGTAGTATAATGCAGATAAATGTGAGGTTATCCATTTCGGTAGCAAAAATACGAGGGCAGATTGTTATTTGAATGGCTGTACGTGGACAGAGGGGAATGTTCAACGAGACCTGGGTGTCCTCGTACATCAGTCACTGAAAATAAGGTGCAGCAGGTAATAATAAAGGCAAACTGTACGTTGGCCCTCATGCAGAGACTTCACCTGAAGGGGGCAGAGCTTTGAAAGTTTGTGATTGCAAATAAACCTGTTGAACAATAACCCAGTATTATGTGACTTCTGACAATTAAACAGGGCATTGGTGAGGCCACACCTGGAATATTGTGCGCAGTTTTGGTCTCCTTTACCGAAGAAAGATGTTCTTGCTATAGCAAGAGAGAGTACAATGAGGGCTTCCCAAATTAATTCCTGGGATGGCAGGACTGACAAATGAGGAGAGAGTGAGTCGGTTAGGATTGTATACATTGTACACTGGAGTTTAGAGGAATGGGCGATGGCGCAGTATCTCAAAGAAACCTGTAAGATTCTAATAGGTTGAGACACATTAGATGCAGGTAGGATATTCCTGATGTGGGGAAGTCTGGAATCAGGGATCATAGTTTAAGGATAAGGGATAAACCTTTCAGGAGTGAGATGAGGAGAAATGTCTTCACCCAGAGAGATGTGAGTCTGTAGAATTCACTACCACAGAAAGTGGGGCCAAAACATTATGTGTTTTGTCTTATCAATCTACGATCCCTGAAAACCCACTGCGCAGTGATGATAAGCATGTCAAAATGCAAAGAAAGCCATCCTTATGAGAACAGTTGCACCACACCTGCACCGAAACTTCAAAGCAAATCAATCTCACGCAACCCGAGTGAGACAGTGGGGAACAACAGGATAAAAACTGATGCAGTGTAATCAATATCAAGAGAATCATTAAACTGTACAACCCTGGAAGTTTCAAGGGGCAATTAAGGATGAGCAACAAACGCTTACTTTGCCAGTGTTGCTCGTGCCCAAGAATGCATAAACTTTTTAAAAAAACTCTGCTCAGTTACATCTCTTGAACTCAAGCAAGCGTACGTTCGGAAATGATCCCTCATTTGTTTTACCTCTCATGTCCTGGGGTGGCAACGTGGGGTGGAGATCGCGGTTGCAGAAGTCTCGATCTGTGCAGCATTCAATAGCTCTTCGCTGAGATGACTTTGGAGTATCCTCGAGAAAAAAAATGAGCAAAGACATGGTGATTAAAATGGGGGACTTGGTTTTGCCATTCAGATTGTACTTTAACATACAAAGATCTTTAAAAATTCATCATTTTTTCCTTTCCTCTCATCAGATCACCCATTCCAAATATTACCTTCTCGCTTCAATAACACTTTCAGAGTAAAGGGACTATAAGAAGAAGGAAAGTAAAGGGCACCAGGTCCAAATCATGTCAGATGATTCTTTAACATTTATTGGTTTCTGAAATAAGCGCATTTTCTTTATTATGGGAAAGCAGACCACCAACTTACTAATTTGGAATGTATTTACAGTGAGTCCTCACTTAAAGTTGTGGTTTTCTGTCAATCACATGTGAAACAATTTCAAGTGAATTACATTTTCTCATCAGGGCCAATCTGAAACTGTAGTTAGGTTCTGTAGCACTTTCATTATCAGAAAGAAAATCATCAAAGCATTACACTCTACAAACCAAAATACTTTACATTGCTATAATCTCAAAATTGTCAAATGAAATAACTTTTAAAATCAAATCAATTTAGAAATAAACAAGAGGAATTTAATTCTATGCCAGTCTGCTTCTGGAACCTTCCACTCCCAGACTCTTCTCATCATTGGAGATCCTCCTTCTCATTCACTCTCTGAATTGTAGCCTCTCTTTCTCACTCATCCTCTGACTTGCAGGCTCTCCTCCTAATTATTATTATCCATATTGTTCTAACCAATATCTACCCCTGAATTAGCATGACACAAACAAATCATCTGTTCAGTATCATGTTACTCTTTGTGGGAACCTGCTTGGCGCAAATAAGACTACACTGGGATCTGACTACAGTTAAAAAGTATGTCATTGGATGCAAAGGACGCTTTGGGGTTGTAAAAGATGTCATGTAAATGCAAGTCTTGATCTTTTATAGTAAAGAAATCTCATTTACACTGAATCTGGTGAGGCTGATTAACACCATCATTAGCCTCTGTCTCAGGTTTAAATCTTCGTCTCCTTACCTCTGCACCTACACAATTAGCAAAGAATATGTTTGTATCCTGCAAACTGAGGAGAATCCGGTTTGTGTTTTGAGATGAAATAGCCAAGCATCAGTGCATTAAATTGGTGAAGCGTCCCACATTATACTGGTTATACCCAATGTGAACATTAGATTTTGGCAAATGCTTATGCCTTTAAAAGTGGAACAGGAAACATAACTGGAACCTATCACTGTGGCACACAATAACATGGGCAAGACTCTGAAAATTTAGGGCTGCCTGCAGTCTACTGCCAGCTGATATCAGTTGGCTGATATGATCATATGCATTATCCAGATCAGTTATCATCTAGAATGGCAGGGCAAATCGGATGGGCTGAATAGCCTACTCTTCTTCCAGTTTCCTGTAGATCCCAACAGATTGTCACTAATCTCTACCTTTAACTTTTATTAAGATTTCATGCCATCATCAAGCTTGTCTGATTGCAGCTATAGGCTACTCAGCTAAAGAGTATCAGTCAGTCTGAACTCAAGCCTGGGAAGTGATGATATAGTGATCATATCACTAGACTAGTCACGCAGAACACCAGGCTAATGTTCTGGGAGTGCAAGTTTGAATCCCATCAAGGCAAATCATGTAAATCTGATTTCAATAAAAATTGCAATTCTGGGATCAGGGGCTCTTATGGCGTAATGATAGAATTCCCCACCTTTGAGCTAAAAAGCCCAGGTTCAAGTCCCACCTACTGCAAAGATGTGTTACAACATCCCTGAACAGGTTGATTAAAAATATCCAGAAGTGTTCAAATCTTGATAAGGTTTGAGCATGGGAATATAGAGGAACCATTAGAATTAGGTTTCTTGTCACACGTAGTCAGGTACAGGGATACAGGAGTACAGTGAAACGTTTACAAAGTCACCACTCCTGGCACCATCTTCGGTACAACGATACAAAATCTTAGGTACAAAAGTTGAAAAATAGTAAAGTGAAGTTAAAAGTTCAACATTACAGTCTCAGCGATGGGCCCAGATCCAGGTTCTTCCACTCCGATGCAGAGGCAGACCAAGACCAGCACAAAGCTGTTGGCCAGCCTCAAGTCTCTTTGCCATGCCACTGCTGCAGAACCATGTCACCATACTTCGGCGCCATCTTGCCTTTGTTGCCAATGCCATCGCCATGAGTCCGCGCCAGGCCGATCTTGTAAATACAGCCACTGCTGGAGCTGTTGGGTCCCGCACTGGGCACTGGGCCCAAAGTTGACTCCCTCCACCATCGCTGGTAACTCACTCTCATCTCCCTTCTCCACCACTAGGGACATACTCTCGCCTTCCTCCACCATCACCAGAAACACACTCTCACCTTCCTTCGCTATTGTCGCTGTTGGGAGCACAAACTTGACTCCCTCCGCCATTGCCGCTGGGAAGAAACCTTGCATCAGACATGCTGGACACTGAGCTCTCCACAGAAGGTAAGTAAGGTTAAAGTAAGAAAAAATAACAGAGAAAGAAGTAAATGCGGACCAAGCAGACAAGCTCCAGGCTCATGAGCCTGCACACTGTGCTGCTATTCCACTACCATTTTGACCAGAGATGCTGTGGTAACAAGAGCCTGAGATCGGTACACTTACAGCACAATGGTAGTGTCCCTATCGCTGAGATAGGAGACCTGGGTTCAAGCTTCACCTGCACCAAAGGTGTCCATTAACATCTCTGACCAGGCGGATCAGAGAATATCTTAAGATTGGGATGGCTATTTCTATAATTATTTTTCCTCTTTATTCATTCATGGGATGAGGGCATTGCTGGCTAGGCAGCATTTATTGCCCATCCCTAATTGCCCAGAGGGCAGTTCAGAGTCAACCATATTGCTGTGGGTCTGGGGTCACATGTAGGCCTGACCAGGTAAGGATGGCAGTTTCCTTCCCTAAAGGACATTAGTGAACCAGATGGGTTTTTCCGACAATCAACAATGGATTCATGGTCATCACTAGATCCTTAATTCCAGATATTTTATTGAGTTCAAATTCCACCATCTGCCATGGTGGGATTCAAACCTGGGTTCCCAGAACATTATCTGGGTCTCTGGATTAATAGTCCAGCGATAATACCACTAGGCCATTGCCTCCCACTTTAAGACACGCTAAGTCAGTCTTGCTAGAAATGCATGGGTTATGAAGTAGTTAACTCGCAGGAATATTGAAGAGCAAAAGCCAGCTTTCATCAGTCTGGCAATTTCAATCAAGGTAACAGATGGTTCATTCAGAAGATTCCAGCAGCATGTGCACCACCCTTGGCTTCAAATGCAGTAACAAGCTCACCATGCACCTTCAGGCGGAGTTTGCACAGTCAGTTTTGCAGGGAGGCATGGAAACGAGCCCAGCGGAGAGGAGATTACTGGCCGCCTGGCCGCCAGCTCACTTTGATAACTCAATCCGAGCACACTGGCGAGAGAATCAAACTGGGATCCGAAGGTGAACGGGATAGAGAAAGATACACTGCTTTTGTGCTAGGCTGCCTACTTTATTTATGAGTTAAATAAAATGGCTATTTGACCCACGGACGGGTCAAACACTAAACTGTAATAAATTGCTGCTCCTGACACTTTTGCCCTAGAGGTGGGCTGTGCTGTAGAGTCGGTCTCCACTCCCCATCCCCACAAGAGGGAATTATGCTGGGTGCAGCAAAACTGTGCAATTTACATTGGCGGTGAGTGCGGTCATTACATATGAACACAATTACAGTCCATAACTTGGAGCTGAAGTCCTTTCCTGCTTAGTGTTGTGATTTATGCATGAAGCAGATCTCTGTGAAATCTGGTTCCAATAAGTGGAGATCAGATTGATTACACCTGTCCATGCGAAACGAGAGTTTTATGACTCTGTGGTGCCACTTGTTTACACTGAACCAGTCCAACACCAAAGCCCACCCACAAGATTAAGTGCCCAGAAATGCTAAGGTTTCAAGGTGTGGAATGGGGAGAGGGGGTGGGGGGGTGGTTGTACACTACTGAGATCATGCCCTGGCAGGCACCGTGCTGAATTCTCAATGCTGAATACGCAGTCAAAAAACTTTCCTACAAGGGTCACAACCACATTCTGATGTAGGGCTAGTGTCCTCTGGCAGAATTATTTCTTATGGCACGCTGGCTCAGTGGTTAGCACTGCTGCCTCCCAGCACCAGGGACCTGGGTTCAATTCCACCCTCAGGTGATTGTCTGTGTGGAGTTTGCACATTCTCCCCGTGTCTGCGTGGGTTTCCTCCGGGTGCTCCGGTTTCCTCCGGCAGCCCAAATATGTGCAGGTTAGGGTGGATTGGCCATGCTAAATTACCTGTAGTGTACAGGGATGTGCAGGCTAGATGCATTAGCCATGGGAATGCAGGGTTACAGGGATGGGGTAGGGGTCGGATCTGAGTGGGATGCTCGTCAGAGGGTCAGTGTGGACTCGATGGGCCAAATGATCTCTTCTGTATTGTCGGGCTTCTATGAATTTTGTGGGCGCTGTAGGAAAGAATGAATCAAGCTCAGTCTCCAAAATTGGTTCCAATCACAGTGGGGAGTAAAGGCGGAATTTCCTCTCTGCTTGTCCTAGTGTTTTCCACATCTCTCTCAGGATGTATTAAACAGTACACAGTGTTTGCTTATGATGCTCCAGTCATCATTGACAGAGCAGTTGGTGTTTTCCTGCCTGTCAAATTTGCAAGCTGTTAACACCAGATCCTGTGGTTTGGCCAATAATTGTGACAGTTTCACTAGCGGAGGGTCAGTGCTGAGGGAGCGCCGCACTGTCGGAGGGTCAGTGCTGAGGGAGTGGGCACTGTCGGAGGGTCAGTGCTGAGGGAGCGCCGCACTGTCGCAGGGTCAGTGCTGA